CTCGCCGGCGAAGAGAGAAGCGGTTAGATAAGTAGTTGCTGCCCACCGGGCTGCCATTCTGTCCATGCAAGAGACCAAGATAGACGTTTGGTCGCCAGCCCTCGTCCGCGAAATTGGTGGCCAAACGCTGCAGGGCTGCGCCGTCATGCCTGCAATCGGCACCCGCGGGCATTGCCATCCTGTGGAACAAAGAACTCGTAGATGTCGTCACCCACGCTGTCGGCCAATTTGCAGTCACGATCAGGGTCACCGTAGCTAGATGCCACACATCCTTCTGGCTAACCACGGTCTACGGACCGAACGACAACGCGAGCAAAGAGGCTTTTCTCGCTGAGATCTCGAGCACGGCCCCGCCCATGTCTGAACCTTGGATTATTTGCAGTGATTTCAACCAAATCTACGAGGCAAGGGAGAAGAACAACCTCAACCTCAATAGGAGGCTAATGGACCGTTTCAGGACGGCTATTGATAGAGCGGGTCTTCGTCAGCTCAAATGCAGCAACCGCAAGTACATCTGGAGCAACGAGCGCGACAACCCAATCCTAGTGGGCATCGATAAATTCTTCTGCAACGTGCCATGGGAAACCCTTTTTCCCCTGACCATGCTCATGGCCGCCTCCACTGCCTGCTCCGACCATTGCCCGCTGGTGCTGTCCGATGCGGCGGGGCCCCGCCGGCGCAGGTGCTTCAAGTTCGAGTCCTTCTGGCCGCGCTTCCCGTGCTTTGCGGACACGGTGACCGCGGCCTGGGCACGGCCGGTGGCTGCCTCCTGCGCATTCACCCGCCTCCACGTCAAGCTTGCCCGTACGGCCAAAGACCTACGCATTTGGAGCCAGGGCCTCTTCGGTGATGCAAGGCCGCAATTCCATATGGCCTGCGAGGTCATCTTGCGCCTCGACGAGGGCCAGGAACGGCGCCAACTTTCGCCGGCCGAACGCGACCTGCGCAGGAGCCTCAAGCTCAGATTGCTGGGGCTGGCAGCGATCGAGAGATGCAGGAAGAGGCAGGCCTCCAGGCTCACCTGGCTGCGCTCCGGCGACGCCCCAACAAAGTTCTTCATGGCAAAAATCTGCTCGCGGAAGAGAAACAACTTCATACACTCTCTGAAGGTCTACGATACAGTAGCTACGGCACACAGCGACAAGGAAGCAGCAATTCACAACCATTTTGACAGCATCCTTGGGGCTACACAGCAGCGATCGTCTACGATAAACTGGGGACAACTTCACATGCCCACAATCCAAGGTGGTGGGCTGGATAACCCTTTTTCTGAAGAAGAGGTGTGGGCGGCGATTCAGGCATCTCCGGCAGAGAAGTCCCCCGGGCCGGACGGCTTCAACGGCACATTCTTCCGATCGTTCTGGCAGATAATCAAAGAAGATGTCATGCAGGCCTTCAACCAATTCTACAACCTGGCGAGTAGCAATTTTGGGTTGCTAAATTCAGCAATCGTAGCCCTAATCCCCAAGAAAGACGGCGCGAACGGCATCAACGATTACCGGCCGATTAGCCTGATACACTCCATCGCCAAGCTAGTCTCCAAAGTGCTCTCGATCAGGCTCGCCCCGATCGTCCAACGCATCATATCGCCGGCCCAGACAGCTTTTCTGAAAACAAGATGCCTACATGACAGTTTCGTCTACGTCCAAAATTGTGTTAAAGCTCTGCACCGGAAAAAGACGTCGGCTGTTCTTCTTAAGTTAGACATCTCCAGGGCCTTCGATAATGTTTCGTGGGAATATCTGCTCGAGCTCTTGGTGAACCTAGGTTTTAGTGCGAGATGGCGGGACTGGATCACCATGCTGCTCGCCACCTCATCGTCGGCCTTCCTCAATGGCGTCCCCGGCCAAACCATCATGCATCGGCGTGGCCTACGGCAGGGCGACCCCCTGTCACCGCTTCTGTTCATCCTTGCGATCGATCCCATCCATCGCCTTCTTAAAGCAGCTGAAGAAGAGCTCCACATTACGCTGATGCCAGGCAGGGAGATCAAGTTTAGGGTTAGCTTATATGCGAACGACGCCATCATCTTTGCAAACCCCAGTAGAGAAGAGATCGACTACCTCATGGATATGCTTGAGAGCTTCGGCGACGCTACGGGCCTGAAGATAAACAACGCCAAGTCCACGGCAACTCCGACTTGCTGCCACGACATCGACCTCAGCACGGTGCTTCAATCTTTTGGGGGACCGATTGCGCAATTCCCGATCAGATACCTGGGGCTTCCACTCACAACTGGCCGGCTTAGGCTAGTACATCTTCAGTTCATCTTGGATAGAATGCGGGCTAGATTAGCGGGCTGGAAAGGGAAAATGCTCTCCATGGCCGGGCGCAGGGTCCTCGTCAGATGCGTCCTCACCGCCATGCCAACGTTTGCCCTCACAGCCCTCAAAATCCCAGTGAAGCTGCTGAAAGAAATAGACAAATGCAGACGTCGCTTCCTTTGGGGCCACGATCAAGAGCTCGTCGGCGGCAGTTGCAAAGTGGATTGGGCGCGGGTCTGCTCCCCGATCGAGCACGGTGGCCTTGGCATCCTCGACCTGTACAAGTTCAGCTGTGCTCTCCGCCTTCGCTGGCTCTGGCACGCCTGGAAAAGCCCAGAGCGCCCATGGGCAGGAACAGAGCTGCCATGCGATGCCTCCGATCACGCCCTTTTTAGTGTGCCCATTGGCAATGGCAAGATGGCTAGCTTCTGGCACTCGGCTTGGATCGATGCGTCTCCGCTGAAGCTCCTCCACCCCAACCTCTTCAAACACTCCAGAAGAAAGAACAGATCGGTGGCGCAGGCCCTACTCGAAGACCGCTGGGTTTCTGACCTGGCGCACGGCGACACTGGTTCTATAGCACAAGAGGTGCTCAATTTGCACCGTCGGCTGCAATCGTACCACCTTCAGGAAGCCAGCCAAGACCAGATCGCTTGGAAGATTGAAGCATCCGGACAATACACTGCACATTCAGCCTACCGCGCCCAGTTCCAGGGTTCTGTGCAGACTCAGTTCCGCGAGCTGATCTGGACCACCCGAGCGCCTGCAAAGCTGAAGATCTTCGCCTGGCTGCTCCACCAGAACCGGCTCTGGTGCAATGATAGGTTGCAGCGGCGAGGATGGCCGAACAGCTACTTCTGTCCGTTATGCCTCCGCAACCTGGAAAGCTCCGAGCACTTGTTCTAGCTTTGCCCCCTCGCGACGGCAACCTGGAATGCCATTGCTACATGGAAGTGCTGCCGCGCACTAGGCCAGGAATCCTGGATCGGCAACATAACCTCGCTGGACAAGTTCAGAGCTATGTCAGATGCAACGCCGCCATCTCACAGGAAAGCGATCAAGTCTCTTGCATTGCTTGCCCTATGGCAGATCTGGCAAGAGAGGAATCGCTGTATTTTTTGGGCAAAAGAGGCCAAGGTGGAAGACATCCTCAACGAGATCAGGAGAGGGCTAAGCCTCTGGCAACAAGCCGGCATCAAGTCAATTCAGAGCCCCTTCGGGGACCCGCCGGGAGAGTAGGCTAGCGGCCTGTGCCTGCTGGCACTTTTTGTTTTTCTCTGACCTTCTTCTTACTTAGTCTCCTTGATCTTCGGATCTCCACCTTTATCGCTTTGTCATCTGCTCCCTGCTTATGTTCAATGAAACACCAGCCTTCGCTGGTCCTTCAAAAAAAAAAGATGTATACAACTAGGCAGATAGTTAGCAACAGACTAATACTAGTTCCCGGAAAAGACCACACTCCATACCCATAAAAAGTTGTACAGTTTTCCAGTATCAAACGAATGCACTGTTATTATATTCATCAGTTCAACCGCCACATTCCACATAACCGTTTTTTTTTCCAGTATCAAACGCATGCACTGTTATTATAAGGAACGTAATCAGAGTGAAATAACAATGCATGCCTATTAAGCTTTATATAGCCTTTTCATACGTCTCTAGACATGTATCCATTTTTGTTTTTTTTATTATAAAATCATGATTATTGGACCAGTTAGCTGCACCGTGAGATTGTCAAAACCTACCCATGAGACCAAGTCCTGTTCCTCACGAGGCCGATTGCTATCGAGTGCCCTTCGTCCTGTAATTAGCTCGAGGAACACCACACCAAAACTATAGATGTCAGACTTAACCGTTAGCTGTCCAGTCGCGGCGTACTCAGGAGCACAATAGCCATAAGTCCCCATGACACGGGTTGTCACATGAGTCTTATCACCCACAGGACCAAGTTTAGCAAGTCCAAAGTCGGACAACTTCGCATGATACCCTTCAGAAAGAAGAATGTTTGATGGCTTAATATCTCGGTAAATAACTGGTGGATTTGCCTTATCATGTAGGTATTCCAAACCAGCAGCTGCGCCAGCAGCTATCTTCATCCGTGTTGTCCAATCTAGAGGTTCTTTATTGGGTGGAAGGTCTGTTTAAAGCATCACAGTAATTTATTAATGGGGGTATCCAGTAAACAACAGCATAACAGTACAGAGCACATTCATGTGTAACTCTAATAAATGAAAGTAATAAAATGGTAAATTATCACAGAAAATATCTTAAGGTTTCAAGGTCAGTGACATGTCAAGGAGCATGTTAGTTCTTCACTTCTTACTGACGCATGTGATATAATAATACTAGAAAGGAACACGAAGTTAGATAAAAGATCCACTGTTTAAGAAAAATTATCTATTCAACAAAGTGATTATGATTAAAATCTGAGTTTTCTCAAGGGTGACCAATCCATCACTGAAATATTACCCCCTCGATGGATTCTTGTTTAGGGTAATCCCATCACTAGATTATTAGATAGCTAGGCTCATTATTTGATAGGTCATCAGAGCATCCCATTCTAGCTTAAGCTTTTGGTCAAATATAGCAAGCAATGGAAACAGGAACAACCTAGATCAGATTTAATTGGGACCTACTGAACAAAGAATATGATGCCAAAAATACCCTCCCCCCCCACAAACGTAAAGAAATAAATACTTAATTAAATCAACTGACAAGAACTGATAGTTAGCTAATAGCATTTCTCACAAGTTAGAACAACTTTTCACCATGTTCAAAGCACCCAGATATGCTAAGTATCACAAACTAAAATGTGCCGACATTGAAAAAAATAAAGATCCTACAATCTACATATATGCTCTCATTACTAGAAATTAACAAACGTTTTCTGAATTCTGATGATTGTATCCTGATAATAGTATAAGTCCGCACATTTTCCAACATAAACTAACCGTGTAGATGGTCTTCTAGTGATCCCAATGGCATATATTCATAAACAAGCAAGCGTTGATCACCGTCAACACAGTACCCTATCAAATTGACAAGGTTAGGGTGATGCAAGAGGTTGAGCATGAGAACCTCCACAAGGAATTCTCGGTTCCCCTGAAGCCCATTTAGATCAAGTTGTTTGACTGCAACAACCTGCCATACAGCAAATGCTGAAACAATATTATCATACAATACGAAAATATGAGCAAGATTATTATAGTTTCCACATCTCCAATAACTGATATTCAATGAGAATTATATTACTGTTGGTGAGAAGTATGCTTTATAACTACCAAATACAAACCTGACCATCATTCAGATATGCTTTATACACACAACCAAATCCTCCTCGCCCCAACTGAAAATCCTTGCTGAAGTTTTTGGTAGCATCAACAAGCTCACGCAAAGTGAAGATCGTCGCCTCATTATGTGTGCCATTTCTCTGGATTCCTTCCATATGTGCGGATTCAGTCTTCAGTGGGGCACTTTCTGATGACTCTGAAGAAATCCACTATTAATGAGCAATTCAAAAGAAACAAATACACATCCACATTTAAATAAACTAATGCTCCTGAAAAAGAAAGGACGCTGGGACAAACAGAAAAACAAGAATAGCACACAAGTTTTTTTTTGCGGGAAGTATTTCATTGTGCCTTTTCAATTTTCTTGTCATGGTCTTCGATCATCTACTGTTCATCTTGTTCATAATTTTGGTTTCCACTTTACTAATCGTGTTTCAATTTCTGTTTCCTTGATAAAGCTGTGCAGCTACTCATGAACAAACTTCTTTCTCTCACAAACAAAAATTCTACGTAACTGCTGCTAGAGCCTAGAGGAACTGCAACACCACAAGAAAGTAAAGGTGGACTAGCCACTGGAAATTTCTGATGGCTGAGTATAACACATCGTCACAAAAATACCCTCCAGCTGGGAACCATCCCCAACAGAGAACTTGTTGGGACCATGAGCTGAAGAGAGTCGATTATTTTTCCTTCCGCGAGAACAAGATACAGACCGACCAACACCAAGAAACGAACATTTCTAGCCTGGTTAGTAGGTAAAGCACGGAGGGATTACTAGGGCAGGAGGCATCATCACCTGAGGCGACTCCATGGTCGATTCCGCCGGAGTCCTCGTCGTCATCGTGCTCCTTCACCACCCGCTCCTCCTCCTCTGGGCACCGGAATAGGCACGACAAGAAGCCCATCTCATAATCCGGCCTCGGCAGCCCCAACAATAGGGCTGAAATCAAGAAATTTGGCAAATCCCCAACCCGGATTTCCTCAGGACAGCACGGATTTCCTCAGCAGACGGGAAAATTAGGCAATTGCTTTCTTTCTCAGAGGGAATTGATCAATCGTTTAGGTCGGGCAGAAGAGGAGAAAGAAGAAAACGGGAGAACGGATAAAATGGATGAAGGCGCAAAAGTCTCCTCCCACAAACGAAACGAATAGAAAATTGAAGGCGCAAAAACGGAGCAGTGAGTGACGCAAGTCATCAAATCCAAGGATTTAATTTGGACGCAAGTTGCATTCGTGCCCCTTCGGGAACAGTCTATTTCTCTTTTGCCCCACTAGTACGTGTCTAAGAGGCCGCGTCTGCTATTGGTAAGGGTATCTCCAACACTCGCCCGCATAGATCTGGATCGTGGAAGCAATCCAATTTAAGCCCGTATCAGTCTGTAGGATAATTCGAACGTGTTTTTTCCCATAAATTGAAGACGGAGGAGGGTTGCAGGAGTCCGGACAGCAGTTACATAGGACTCCGACACCACGGCCCACCCAATCCCCCTTCCGATCCCATTTTCTTTGACTACGTCCCTTCTCTCCTTACTTTGCATCTGCACCGTTCACCTCCGCCACCGTCAATGTACATCTTCGCCCGCCACATAGGCATCGCGGGAAGTCCGCAACCAGCATCTACGTGTCCGCTCGTCTTTATGACGGCGCTGTCCACCCTAGAGCCGTTTGTATCCAGGTACACTCCGCCCCCTGTCCACGCCCGCCATGACAGACACCACGCTCAACAAGTGTTCGGTTAAAGGCCATTGAGCTTATTTTTGAACGGTATGTCGTTTTTAGAGTATGAATAATGACGAGCTATTCACCCATGAAGGATGAGTTGTAGTGTGATGCGTGGTTGGCCGTATTCACGGATTTCGTAGGCAGGAGAGGGGGGACATTTTGGTAGCAAGTACATGAATCGTTTCACGCACGAAAGCACAATGCGCCTTACGACATGTACATCATTTAACAACACAATGTGAGATCGTTACTGTATCACTAGTATGTTATCCAGACCAATGTCACCAAGTTTTGTCAAGTAGTTCGTCAGCTGGAGGCAAGGTGGCCATTGCACGCGGCAGAGGAGGAGATGATAAGTTTTGCTTCATCTTGCTCAACTTGTTTAAATAATTCATTCACTCAATGTTGGTCTACACATATGTAGCCCGCACACACAGTCGTGATGTATCACAGGACAGAGGGATGGTGATTTACGTACACAGATTGTTGGATGAAACTAAAGGAGGATTATGTGCGGGACGATATGATCCGTTGATGAAAAACTTGTTGGAGAACCAGTTAATCTAGTTGAATTAGAGACATCGTTGTACTAGATTTAAGTTGCATGTTATGTCCTATCTGAACTTTGATGAATATCGTCAGGTTTGCATGATTTTTGTCTGATTAATTAAAATACGGGTTTAAATGTATGCGGACAACGTTGGATGGTGGCCTTCCGTATCCGTGTCCGCGGACTGACAACCCTGTCCGTGGACAGATGCGGGAGGAAGTTACGGGTTGCTGTTGGAGATGCCCTAAGCTGCCTGAATTTGCAACTTGTGTCAATATATTTTCGAAGAGCACAACCTCGAGGTGGAGGCGGGGGCGGTGCGCTAAGCGACGACAAAACCACGCCAGGGACAACACAGCAACGACGTCATTGGTAGAGGGAAGGAGGGTTTCAAGGTTGACTGGTTCAAGTGTGGTTCTGAAAGAAATGCTCATAAAAGCTTAAAAAGATAGCGTGGTTTGAGGAGTGGTCACATACAACGATGTACGGACATATGTAGTGGCTTGGAGTAGGCAGGGCAGCGAGGATTGCACGACGACAAGCGGCGTTAGAGGGTGGTGGGAGGAAGGGGACAACTAGCAAAAGGAAGAAGGCGCCTTTTTTAAAGTCAAATTTATTTGAAAGCAACTTGCAAAAAGGTTGTCCCTTTCGTCTTAAAAGGAAAAAAGAACCCTTTAAGAATGTCGTATATGTACTTTTTAATATGGTTGATCGCCTACTGTTTGAGGTAGCCTGTTTGCCAGTTTGGTGGTGTTCTAGGTACAGTTTAGCTAAGCCAGCTTGTGTGTTGTCAACATATTCTAATCCTTAGGATTGTTTCCAGCGTGAATTTTTTCCACTCCAGTCTCATTTGAAGAATCCTATATTTTTCATGCGCACATTGAAACACTTATACTAATCCTGCAATATTGAAAATGGCATGCCACTCTATTCCTCTGTTTTTTCTATTCTTACGCTTTACAAATTCTGCAATTCACAAAAAGAGGCCCTTACCATGTTTTAGTTTAGTGATAAGTCATGTACTATGAACTTTTGTTTGTTTTCTTATAAACGAGACTATTTCTTCCCTTTGACGATGATTATTGTTTCATTGAGAAGCAATACTTGAAAATACACATTTCTCTGAACTAGTAAATGTGTACGAATGCAATGCACCTCGATATTAGACCTATGTTTTTAAGGCGTCGCCTAAGCGTCGCCTAGTCGTCGCCTAAGCGTCAAGGCGCCCCAGGATGGCAAGGCGTCTACCCCGCCTTAGACAGACATGAAGTGTACGGCTGTGGCTGCGCTAGTTCTGGCTGCTCCTGGGGCTTGGAGATGACGGTCCCGCTGTCTCCCGGCACCATGAAGAGGAGGGAGGACTGGGGGCTCTTGGGGCTTGCTGCTGTGAGGGAGAAGGGTGGGGCCATGAAGAGGAGGCAGGAAGGACCAGAAGGGTATGGCTTCGTGGCGGCTGTGGTGGGAAAGAAGGGAAGGAGATAGTGGAATTAGGTCACGGGGGTGTATATGGCCACTAGATGGGCTTTTGGGCCACTGGGAGGTGCATAAGTAGTGGCCCATCTCTCAGCCATTGCTCTTTTTCTAGTATTAATATGTGCAGACCTATTGATGACTCTTTTCCTGCAATGTTTAAGGCGTCGCCTTGCCTCGCCTTACCGCCTCGCCTTGGCGCTTAGGCGTCAGAGCGGCCCTCCTCCGCCTTATGACGCTTTACAGCCTTAAAAACATAGTATTAGACAAATATTAATTTAGCTCATATTAATTACAAATAGATATCATTGTAGTAGGATATTATTTGCGTGTTAATTATGTGATTAGCAATGGCATCAAATATTTGATATGTAATTAATTGCATGCTAAATATATTGAGCGCTTACCATTGAAGCAATTTAAGTCGTTAGATTGACCCGATTTAATAACCGAGATTAGCTGGATTTGTCCGTTTTAAGTCTCTTCATACGAGTGTGACTAGTTCTCATCTAGATGAAAATTAACTAAATCTCGTATAACTCATAAAACATTTAATTTACGTGAATATTTGTGTGATATTTTAATTAATTAAACGGTGTAAGAATTTGATGAGACTTTGTTAATTATCATCTGATGAAAATTAGTACTGCGTCTTTATATTCATATATAGATATAGATATCAGCCCAAACGTTGTTCAATGTTCTTTTTTTTGCGGGGAAAACGTTGTTCAATGTTCTTTAGATCGAAGAAACCATTAGCGAGGCAACTGTTGGGTGCACACTGCACAAGTACGAAACTTCCAGCGCCGTCATTGTCATCTTTTGGCACCACAGCACCTCACGTCACGTTGCTCTTTCACACGGTCAAGAAAAAGCGATCTGGCTAGAGGTGTGGTCGGCATGGCCCCGCGCATGGGTTGAAAAGTCAAAGAACCGTCTAATTAGGCTGAAGGATTTTTTTTTGAGGAATTAGGCAGAAGGATTGAGAAATCTAATTAATCTTTTTTCAGAGATAATTTAATTCTTTCAAAAAAAACTTCCAATCTTTTCATCAACTGTTAAGATAGTACAAAGAACTCTAGAAGTAAATTTTACAACCAGGTCTGTAGACCACCTAGCGGCGGCTACAACACTGAAGCGAGCTAAGGCCGTCACCATCATCGCCCCTCCCTCGTCGAAGTCGAGTACACATTCCATCTTTAAGAAGTCGCCGCCGCTCATCTTCCAGAGCATGGCACGAACCCTAACAAAACTCAGAAAAGTATCTAAAAACGAAACCCTCCGCCGGTAAGGGTCGGGATCCATCGCGTCTCCATGGTCCAAAGATCATATAAAACAAGGCGGACTCGTGGCGGCACCGACGAGAGGCAAGGAACCCTAGATGAGTTCGCACAGGGCACAACGGGACAGGTTTCTGGGGATAATCTAATTAATCTGTGCTACCTTCGTTTTTATTTACTCCAATTGTGACCTAAGTCAAATTTTATAAATAATTATCAAAATTAATCTAAACTTTCACAATAACAAATATATATAAAATGAACACATATTGTGGATGTTAATAAAATTTTATATAAATTTGGTCAAAGTTTAAAATCTTGACTCGAAACAAAGCTAATATGCAAAATAAATAAAATAGAGAAGTTATTAGTAGCGGTCAATAAGTAATTTAAGTCATCTATAACCGGAAAGCGACGGCAGACAAGAGAAGTGGAAATCAACCATGCATCCTGACTGTTGTGGTTGAACGCAGTGGGCACGCGCGGGTAGAAAACGAGGTGCCAATGTTTTTCCTTTTCTTGAAAATTAGCCGATGCATCTCATAACCAAAAAAAGATAGCTCAAATGTTAGAAAAGGATAGCTATGTTGAAATCACCAGTTAAGAGATACCTCTTGCGAAGGAGAGACCCCCTCCCCCTCCTGCGTCGTCCTCCTGCGAGGACTCGGGGGCGACTAGGTTTTCCCCTTCCCACCGCCACCCTCCAAGCGCCCCCCCCTCGCAACCGCCGGCTGGCTTGCGGCGGCGGCGAGGCCTCTCCGCCTCCTTCCCTCCCCTTCCAGCTCCTCTCCCGATGCTTCCTCCCTGGCAGGAGGTCGTCTTCCGGCCAAGTTCTACGCGCCTCTTCTCCGAGTGGTAAGGTCTGGCCTACCTCGTGGGCGTC